GCCGATTGCGCTCAAATTTGGTACACGGTTGAGGACCGGTTAGTAGGGTGCCGTGCAAAAGTCATTTTGGACCCTGTTTGCACGTGCGCACGTGCAGAATGCCGCTTCCAGATCTCAGGAACGGCTGGGCCGATTGCGTTCAAATTTGGCACACCGCTAGCGACCGGTTAGAAGGGTGCTTTGCACAAGCCCGTTGGAAGTACCCTCTCGCCCTTCCGCACGTGCAGGGCTCACTATCTCGCTCGCTCGTTCTTCGCCCAAAAGGCGTTTTACTGGTAATTAGCATGCCTCGGTCTTTTACTATGCAACAGATGTTGCCTTTCTGATTGCTTTGTGCCCTGATTTACTATGCACCTAAGCACATACATGCGCTCTCCAGTCCTTGTGCCCTGCCCTATCCTAGGGTCGTACACCTTGTTATGTCCCATGCCCTACTATACCCCTAGGATATGTGACCTGCCCAGTGCCCTGTCTTAAGGTCTTGTACCTTGCCCTGCCCTTCCTTCAGGCCTTGCGCCCTGCTCTGCATTCAGGCCCTGTGGCCCTCTCTGCCCTGCCCAGTGCCCTCAAACCCGATACCTTGTTGTCGTCCCGTCTTAAGGACCCCTTCGGTGCTGCTGCCGGTTCGGTGCTGGGTCCGGATTTCGGGAATATTGTGCATATCTAGTCATGTTCCTTGCCCTGCCCTCAGATCCAATAATACTGATATTGATAAAAAATCAAATGTAAGACTTTAGCTAAAGCTGGAGAAGATTATCCATCCCTGAACCTGGGCGGAACCCAGGGAGGCGAGGCGAGTTATCACAAGCAACATAAGTGTCACCTTTAATCCCCTCCGCTCCCCCTCCCCTGTGGCACCATCCGCCGCCCACCACCCATTCATGATTCACATTCGCGTAGTCGCCGTGCTGGACCTGTCGGAGCCGAGGCGGACGTGCGAGCCTGAATGTTAGGCTGACCCGGGCGGAATCGGCGCCCGCCTTTCCGGGGATTCCCGGCCATTGAAACCAAGGCCGTATAAGAGAGGTAGAATCATCCCGCGATTTCCAATGGACCGGTCGCTAAGCATTAGCGTGACGTCACTGGTGGAGACCGGGCGGCGCCCAGCTCCAAGCTGTACGTCGGGTACATTTGGCACCGTATAGTTGCTATTACTGAACGACGAACGTAACGACAACTAATGACTCTTAATAACTTTTTTACTCACCTAAAGCTGATTTCCTTGCCGGTACATTGCCGACATTGCCCCAGGGTTGACAATCATGGGATATGGGTCGGATGGGCGACCTCGCGACGGGAGGAGGAACGATTGCAATTGTTGTGTTCCGCACCGCCGATTGCATTCTCTATCTGCACCCGGGGGGAGGGGAAGCAGGGGGCACGTGCCCCCATCGGATCAGGGGGCCTCTCGGGCCCGAGGGGCCTTGCGACGCCAATTGGCGGCTGAGGGTCCACGCTGGCATCTTTCGACTCAGAAGGGCCCCACAGGGCTCGGAAGAACACCTTATGTGCTCCGAAGAGCCACACTTCTCTCCATAAGAGCCACACACCGGCTTTTTAGTGTCCCTTGTCGGCCTTTGAGTGCCCTTTGCCGGCTTCTCAGGGCCTATTGGCGACCTCTGAGAGCTACTTGCCGGCCTCTGAGGGCCCTTACCGGCCTATCAGGGACCAGCAGCTCTAAGGGTTCCACACACGCCTGCGATGACCCCCTAAACCAGTGGTTGAAGGCCCCCACAACGGCGCCTGCGAGGGCCCTCACCGGCGGCTGTGAATGCCCCACACCGGTGCCTAGCTGAGGGTCCAACACTGCCACCTCTGAGTGCAAGCGGCACCCCTGAATGAGGTCCCGAAACCAGTGCTTCTTAAGACCATATATCGGCGGCTCTGGGGGCTCAACGCCGGAGCCGCATCGGACGGCCACTCACCGGTGACTTTTGAGGGCCCCACACCGACGACTCTGAGGGCCCCACTGGCGTCTGAGTGTACCTTGCTGGTCTCTAAGTACTCCACAGGGCTCCTGAAGGCACCGCAGACCTCTTGAGAGCCTCTTGTCGGTCTCTGAGAGCCCCTGTCGGCCTGTAAAGGGTTCGAGCCAGCAGCTCTAAGGGTCCCACACCGGACTGTGACAACCCCACACTGCAGTGTCTCTGAGGGCCCACAACGGCAACTGTGAGGACCCTCACCGGCGCCTCTGAGGGCCCACAGCGGCACCTCTGGGGGCCCGCACCAATGCCTCTGAGAGCATCACACCGGTACCTGTGAGCTGTGAGGGCCCACACCAGTGCCTCCAAAGGCTTCATAACCGGCGGCCCTGAGGGCCCTAGGCCTACACGGGTGATTTTGAGGGGCGTACCGAAGGCACCACACAATCCCTTCGTCTCGCTGAGCTTCTATCCCAATCCCATACCGGCTTCTATCCCAATTCCGGCTCAACTAATTATCAGCCCCCCTCCCCCTCCATGGGTCAGCAGCGCCGCGCCGGTGTCGGGGGCCAGCGCCATTGGGGCGGCAGTCGGCCACGCGCACTCAGTGGTTAGCGCTTGCACCGGCGGCTAGCGCACGCCCGGTGTGTTATCGGCCGTGAGCCGCTCCAAAACGGCTGCAGTAACTGGTCGATATAGGTAGTAAGCAGATGCAGAGATGCAGGTGGATAAGGTATGTGCCCTTTCCGATCGAAGCATGTGCCCTATGCCACCTTTGGGACGCAGTAAAAAATCCTTAAAATATGCCCTGAAATCTAGTTTTTTCCTTTCTTAATGAGTGTAAGTGGCAAAAGGCCTGGTAGGATGGGCACGAGGAATGATCGAAATCAGCATAAAAATTATAAATAAGCCACACAGAGCGACCTATATCAGAGAAATTCCCCCCAAACGATCATGCTTAGAAACGCCGAAGACAAAAACCACGCTCATGACGCTGCTTATAAAACAACGCTAAACAGCTAGCATCCAAATAAAATATGGCTTTCAGGGCTGATAAAATACAGCTGAATGATTTTAAACCACTGAAACTGAGTTTACAACAGTAGTTCGGTAAAATCACTGACGTTTCACGCGGTCGATCGCCCCGACACCAAAAGTCAACAATATTACCTCGGGACTGTCCGCGTGTTCGCTTGCATATGTCAGCATCTGGTGTCGCTAGAATGAAACTTCATAACCAGGCGAAAATTATTATACTTGACCTCAAAATGTAAAAAATGCTTCATTTTCCTTAAAATTGCATGTTAAATGTCGTATAACCCATATTTCCACCATTCTGTCATTTTTAAAAAATCATTAAAAATATCATTCCACGGTCAATTTCCTTGTTCCACGGTCAGATTAAAGATAACTTTATGGAGATTTAGTAGATACTTAAATCAGCGTGCACTTTTTTGAGACGTGATGCACTTTTGAGTTTTAGTGGGCGAACGGCCGAAAAATTGCCTTCCGTTCTCATAAATGGGAACGCCCGTTCCCATATTTGGGAACTCCGTTCCCAAAAATGGGAACGTTCCTATATTTGGGTACTCATGACCATAGTTCCGCCTACTGATATGATTTTATGTAAAATAATTGATATGAAACAGCCGTCTCTTAAGTTATGACCCCATTACACCACACGCAAGTGGCAGAAATGACAATGATCAGCTGACGCATTTTTCTTGGCCGAAGTCAGAGCGCGCGGCCCGACGCACCACGCGTATTTGGAAATTCCGACCTCGACGAGCATCAGAAGCCACCTAACAGGCGTGTTCGAAACCGCAGGAGATGATGATGAACGGGTTTATCGAAACTTGATTGGATGAGCCTATCGGTAATAGCGATTTTAGTGTGTGCATTTATTGTTCATAGTGGTGTGAAATGTGGTTGGGGTACGACCGACAACCCGTCGGGGCAAATTTCGCACTGGGGTAGGGGAGAGCGGGGCCAGTTGAAACACGGGGTCAGATGAAACATGGCTTTATTTTCAACAGTATGCAACATATGGCGTTGCCGACACCACTGCGCATCCGCGCTCGACCACTTCCTTTGACAACGGCGGTTGGGCGGCAAGCGGACGGTAATTTTGATTTGACACTTGTTTTTGTGTTTTTGAGGGGTGTTTGGGAGAAATCGTTTTTATGAATATTTTGTGATATCTGCATATACCTTTGTTTGCTGTACGAAGAACTCCTGGCTCCGGAATAACACCTTATTTAGCCCTTCATTCAGCATGATGCCGTCCCTCCAGCTCGTTTGACATGTGCTTTACGGTGCGTGCGAGATGGCGGGAGCGGATGGGGTCAATTGAAACGCTTCTCTGAGGGTCAGTTGAAACAGGGCCAAAGGCCGTTTCAATGGACCCCGGTGACCTTTGCAATGGTTATTGTTCAGGGGCTGTAAACATTAAAGGAAATAGTCCACCTTTGAAATGAGCTTTTAAACTGAAATAGTAGTTTAATAGAGCTCAATTTTTGACCCCTTTTTCTCCAGCCTTTTGCTTGAAAGCACACTATAGCCTGAGATATTTCTCATTTTTCTCATCCGCCCATTTTACCATAGTCTATGTACTTTATGTCACCTATTATGAGGAGCTTTGCACTTTTAGCTTTCCAACGACCTATTGAATGTAGCATTTGGAAAAGTAAACCGGACAAAATATATCTTTAAAAAGTGGCCTTAAAGAGGAAAACATCCCATTGTTAAGGATAGGTGCAATTGACCCCATGGGCTGGTTCAATTGACCCTCGCATCGGGGTCATTTGAAACGGGCGTAGAGCTGTTTTATAAGCGTGCGTTTGGCAGCAAAATATGTTTGAAACATAATTTTACATATATTAAAATAAAGCCAAAAGAGCATATTTTTTCATGGCATTGTGCATTTTTCGATATAACAACTAGATCTCGCTGTGCATGTCAATATATAAAAAGTGGTTCAACTGGCCCCGCTCTCCCCTACTCAAAATTTGAAGAATTTAAGACGTTTCCATAAGTTTTGAAGGTATGGATAAGTTCTAAAAATCCGGTTCTCCTTATCCGGGTCATTAACTCCATATGGTCCAAGAAAGCTGGCACACTACCTTTAAGCAGTGACCAGAGACCCAGATGTAAGAGCAACTACGGCTGACATAGTCCGGAAAAGGCGTGTCCTCTGTCATCCATGACCTGGTATGAACTTGGCCGTATCGTGGCTCTTAGAATCTGCGCTACCTGTCACCAATTATCGCGATTGCATCGCAAAAATATACGATAGAAAGTGGAATATATGTTGTGTGAGTACATATGTAAACGAATAGGTACTGCGGATTACCTCTGCTCAGAACATTATAACACAACACAGAACACATATTTCGTCCGTACCTACATGACTTCATACTCTATTGATCTGACCTGGAAGAGACCTAAAGTTTTCAAAGATCTCGTTCAGGGAATCAAAGCAGAATTTAAGTTCTGCTCATTTCGTCCACGGCTCTATTCCCGAGACACAGAGAGAGAGAGAGAGAGAAAATATCAGAGGAAGCTCATCCCCCCCCCTCCCCGGCCGTAACGGTGCCTTAAACACTGAATGTTCTTCCGTGCTAATTTGATCGTACGGTCTGGTAAAAACCTAATGGCGTTGTCAAGCTGCGTTGGTTTTTGCCGCCCGCCGTGTGGGTGCTCGAGAAGCCCCCGGCGATATCGGCACCACCAGGGGTCGGTGTCCGGGACCGGGACGAGCAGCAGCGGGCACTTCCTAAGGGCGGTTTATAAGAGGCAGGAGCTGCCGCGGCTCTCGGAGGTCGGGTGCGCCGCGCAGCGCTGCCGGGATGGAGCTGGTCGCCACGGCGCTGCTGCTGCTGCTGGCCCCGGGCCTGCCGTCAGCCTCCCACCAACGAGGTACGTGATTCGACTCTGCCAAAGCAGGGCCGGCGCGCATGCCAGGGCTGGGTCATAGTAATCAACACTCTTTTAATTATCTCATCCAACGGTCTGTGCTGGGCGGAGCGCTGCATTACACTGGGTGGAATGGCGCCGCTCCAACGGATACAAAGCAAAGCGGAATGTCGCGCTGCATTTTCACCATGTCGTGTGATGTCGGCTCACCTTTCATGCGGGAAAAGATGTCTCAAATAGTGCCCCCAGATGTATAGGGACATAGTTCAATCGCTATCACACTTACGCCAGGCGTCGTATTCATGACAGATTAGCCCTAATACTTTTGGGGAAGGGGCGGGGGGGGGGGGGGGTGGCGAACGGGCTCCCTCAGTTATTCACAAGTAACTTGCAAAAGGCGGCAGATCACGACAAAACTTACGTACCTACCCTTGAAGCACCGACCAAGTTACCCCGTCGGTTTGCCCCGGCCAAGTAAATGGACATTCTGAATATTTAGCTCTAAAAGAAAAAAATCGTTACAATTGTCGACAAAAAACTAGCATTGTTTTTACACATGCTCATTGCGTAGGCCACCAAAATTAGTGCTGTTGTATTCATCCTATCTATGACATTATTTATGAGATTTAGCCCTGGAGCAAGGTGCGCGGCGTCGGATCAAGCTGAATTTGAAAGCAATACCGCACCGTTCACAGAGGCAGCCTGCCTAACAATGTCACTTCGTCCCGCTGATGTGTTCCAGCGGAGAGTTCTTCAGCGGCGCGCGGCTCGCGTCTGCTGCTGGGTGGCACGGTGACCACCGTGGTGCTGACCACCGTTTCCACCACAACCACCTCGACAGTGTTCTACACCTGCGCCGCCGGTAAGGAAATAGTAGCATCGCCGCACAGTGATGCAAATGGGGTTCACGAGTGGCCATAAATACCAAAAAGTCAAGTTGACCAAACCGAGAAAATCGCGATATGGTCAACCAAAGAAATGTTTGGGGCATCTGAAATCACATAGTTTTCATGTTTTTGTCAAAACCGGCCTCGTGTGTGTGTGTGTGTGTGTGTGTGAGAGAGAGAGAGAGAGAGAGAGAGAGAGAGAGAGAGAGAGAGAGAGAGAGAGAGAGAGAGAGAGAGAGAGAGAGAGAGAGAGAGAGAGGGAGAGAGAGAGAGGGGGGGAGAGGGAGAGAGAGAGAGAGAGAGAGAGAGAGAGAGAGAGAGAGAGAGAGAGAGAGAGAGAGAGAGAGAGAGAGAGAGAGAGAGAGAGAGAGAGAGGGAGGGATAGGAAAGCTGAAGGGAGCATCTTACATTCACAAATTCTTCGTATGTATTTTCAGATATCAGCACTTCGACAGCCTGTACTGGAAAGCGGCGTCGGAGATCACCCAAAGGGCAGCTACAACGTCACATTTGGTAATGTATTTATCCAAACGCACCCTGCTGGCGGGGGCGATTACCCCGGCGCACACTGGGCGGATATGCCATTCTAGCGCGACAGGGCCTGACTCTTCGAACGGACCATCTCGTTTTTTTCGCAAATAACTCGCGTTAAAAGCGGCCTATCGCAACAAAACTCTCAGTATCCTCGTGTTAACTACTGTTACACCTACCCTCAAAACTTCATGACTCTGACCTTTATGACCTTTGACCTGTGACCTTCTTTTCGAGACCATGTTTGGCCGGAATCGCGATTCAGCGTACGTCACGGCTCGCGTTAGCCGCGCGTTTGCAGTCTTTTCGTGGTTTCAAGCGTTGAAACATGGGATATGATGTTGCTTCCATGCATTAGGGTGGGTATCAAGGTCACCAGGAGGTCAGGTCAGGTCACTGACCTTTGATGACCTCGGTTCACTTTTTCGAGCTTTACATGATTCTAGGCCAGTTTTTCGAGCTGAATTCGAATTTTGCAACCATTTGAACATTTACGATGTAGTTTCGGTGCCTTCGTAACATGTTACGAAACTGCCAGAGGCGGTTGACACGTATTACGAATCCCGTCACAACCCCTACCGGTTGACCTGACCTGACCCGACCTGGTCTAAATGCATGAAGACATAATCTATGATCATAACTAGCATGATATTCGTGATCATGGGAGCGGCGGAGGCCCCAAAAATAGACAAGAATAAAAGGTGCCTATTATTAATTATTATTATCATTAATAATAATAATTATGCCTATTATGATTATGCCTATTAATAATTATAATTATGCCTATTAATAATGATTATGTCGGTGCCTATTATTAAAAATAATAGGCACCGGTATCTAAAAACCGGTGCCTATTTTTCGGTGTAATTTGCTAGATATTCATTGCCGCTTTTTCTCAGCCAAGGTTTATCACTTCTATGCCAATTCATGAACTTTTTAAAGGTGGGACTGGGCGGTTCCCTTTATTATGCTACACAAAGTTGCTGTGACTGTGACTGTGTTGTGACTGACCGGTGTTGTGACTGACTGGTGCTGTGACTGTGATTGGTGCTGTGACTGCCGACCGGTGTTGTGACCCGCGGTGTTATGACTGTGATTGGTGCCGTGACTGACGGGTGCTTTGACTGTGACCTGTGTTGTGACTGTGACGGGTGTTGTGACTATGACCGGTACTGTGACTGTGACGGGTGCTGTGACGGGTGTTATGACTGTGACCTGTGCTGTGACTGTGACTGGTGCTGTGACTGATTGGTGCTGTGACTGACCCGTGCTGCTGTGACTGTGACTGGTGCTGTGACTGACCCATGCTGTGACTGTGACGGGTGCTGTGACCGGTGTTGTGACTGGTGCTGTGACTGGTGCTGTGACTGTGACCGGTGCTGTGACTGTGACTGGTGCTGTGACTGACCGATGCTGTGACCGGTTCTGTGGCTGTGACTGGTGCTGTAACTATGACTGGTGCTATTACTGTGACTGCTGCTGTGACTGCCCCGTGCTGTGACTGTGACGGGTGCTGTGACTGTGACTGGTGCTGTTGCCTCCAGGGAGCTGCCCGAGGAGGCGGCAGAGGCCAGCCTGCGCTCGTCGCTGTCGCCGGTGGCGGGCGCGGAGGACCTCGGTGCCTGGCGGCCGGCCGCTGACCCGGCCACGGCCGGTGGGGGCCGCGGCGCGCGCTCCTATCTGGCGCTGACCGTCACCTCCATCACCACCTCGACGCTGACCGTGTCGGTGGCCACGACCAACTCGGCCACTACCGTCAGCCTGTCCGTGTACTGCACACTGGCCACCGGCGCCACCCAGTACCCGCGCTGCTGACACCAGTCCGTGTACTGCACACTGGCCACCGGTGCCACCCAGTACCCCCGCTGCTGACACCAGTCCGTGTGCTGGCCACCGGCGCCACCCAGTACCCGCGCTGCTGACACCAGTCCGTGTGCTGGCCACCGGCGCCACCCAGTACCCGCGCTGCTGACACCAGTCCGTGTACTGCACACTGGCCACCGGTGCCACCCAGTACCTGCGCTGCTGACACCAGTCCGTGTACTGCACACTGGCCACCGGCGCCACCCAGTACCCCCGCTGCTGACACCAGTCCCTACACTGGCCACCGGCGCCACCCAGTACCCGCGCTGCTGACACCAGTCCGAGTACTGGCCACCCAGTACCCGCGCTGCTGACACCAGTCCATGTACTGGCCACCCAGTACCCGCGCTGCTGACACAAGTCCCTGTACTGGCCACCCAGTACCCACGCTGCTGACTACAGTCCGTGTACTGGCCACCCAGTAGGTACCCGCGCTGCTCATCAATACGTAGCCGCAAATGGTGCGTGTGCTTATGACGGTTTCTGTCTCTGATGGTTGAACAGTTTGACCACAACCTTGAGTTTATAAGTGTTAATTGACATATGGCTTACGCGTCTCTTGCTCTCCTTGGGCGAATGTTTGCTGAGACGTCGTCATCTGACACGCATCTCCCATGTCGCCTGCATCGCCTTCGTCGGCCCGATCTCGGCCCGAGGACCACGGGTGGACATTTTTTTCCTGTTTGGGTTTATATTGTGCCTTACTGTGTTGCTAATTAGGGGATATTTATGTGTTCTGTACCTGACCGTAGCGCTTTCCTCGCGGGCATTTTTTCCCCTTTTTTTGCCCACTTACGTTAATACAGTTTCTGGATACTCACGCATGTATTTATTGTATAGTCGACTCCAGGATGATGTTCCACTCCTCAGAAGCTATCAGTTGATCGGAGCGCTAAGTTGTGCCGTTTATCACGCAATTAAGCGTGTCGATTGTAAGCATTGAGATAAAGCTATAATTTGTGAACTCAGCCCGTGTGATGCGGCACAGCCTACCACTCCAGGCAAATAATTGCCTGTGAAAAGTGGAACATCATTCTGTAGTGGACTATACTAGGTCGTTCAATAAGTAAGGTAAAATCGCATTTATTTCAGTCCACCTTTGGTGTAACGACATGAAACTTGCAACATATGTCAACTAAAATTTTGTCTACAAAATGGCTATAAGCATTCAGTAGCAGGTCTCATCGGTCAACCACCCCAGCCTTCAGAACTCGCACCTACTTCCAATCACCGTTCAGGCGCACGTGCTCATCTCAGCACTCCACCAAGCACTGAGAACCCGCTCGGAAAACTCCTTATTGATGTTTTTTGACCATGTGTTTGTATTCTCTTGATTGCATCATCCGTAAAAAAGTTATTCCCAGAAACAGAATGTCTTCCGGCGATCCGACCAGCTTGAAGCTGGACGGCGCCAGATCAGGGCTATACCTACTCCAGCATGCCTGTGCTGACAGAGCAAAGCTGCCCCCGCACTGATGCCTAGTCGAGCGTCGTTCTGCTGTTGAGTGAGATCTTTCGGTCAATCCATCTCAGGCAGACCTTGAAAATATTTAACGTATCTGATGATGCCTGTAGGCTGTAGTTGATTTGACATAACACTTCACTCCGTAAATGAAGTTATTCACACATATGCTTTGGGTCTCCATCATCACCTCGCTGACTTCACGGATTGTGCCAGATCCAGAGGGTCCTGCAAGCATAGGTCCGCCTGCCGTAGTCTCTTACATTGCCGCATCACTACCCACTGCCCACCACTATGCATTGTTAATGGCCATATGGCGTCATCAGGGTATAGTCTCTCTTGAAAGTATCGCGACTCTGAGCCAAGGCGCCACCTGTTCCAGCCACCGTTGGGCGGAAAAGTTTGAGAGCCGCTGGTAGCACTGACCGATTGACCGAAGCCTGGCACGCGGAGTCAGCCAGCGCGAGCGCGGCGGGGCGAGGGAAGTGGTTGCGGACTGCAACTGCGGAGGGATAGGGGAAGGTAGCAGTCGCCGTCCGGTAACTTGTGATGGCAGCAGGCATGTGGTCAACGGAAGCCACCCTACTCGCAGAGATTTTGTTGAGATTTGCTTGGTTGCAAAGTTAATAATTTGACCCGTCATCGACACGACTGTCACAGGTTTTTGGTAAAATGCGGAAACCCGTGCCTGAATACGAAAAAAATCATCAGCTGCGCCCGCTAACAGAATGCATCCGTGGTTGCAGATGCACCCGCGAGCGGATTCAAATCACAAAAATCTCTCTCTAGCCAATTAGTCCTATAATTGAAGTTCTCTTTTTTTTAACGAGCCGGTTAGGGAACGGTGATAAAAATATTTACCGTTCTGCTGTCTTCTTTTTAAAAATCCTATTTGATGCCGGGCTGCCCCCCTCTCATGACCTGTTTACGTCGTTCAGAAGGTCTCTTCACAGTAGGATTATGGCGGAACTTTGCTTCGTTGTGATTTTACGCGTCACGCACACGAGTGATTAGCGCCCACTAAGGCAGACCAATGAGCGCTCGGCTGGTGAACCCTAGCGGCGCCTGTATCCGCCTGGGGCGGGGGGCGGGGTCAAGGCGAGCGATACGAGCATGACCGTTGGTCAGCCTCCACCTGTTTTAACCCTATTCCTGGCGGGCTCCGCCGGGACAAGAAACTGGCGGGGGGGGGGCCGATTCGGCCCCCCCCCTGAGATCTCGAGAACGAAGCAAGATAGCGACAAGCGGTAAACGGCATCGGATACGCACGGTCAAGATCTACAATTTTTACAAAGGTCATTTTCAGGTCAGGTCAAAGATGACGTCACAGGGGTCGAAAAAGTCAAAATGGCGGCGCTAGATATGGAGAGAGTTTTTCTCGAATAACTTTCGAATTAGTCAAGATAGGAACAAACTAAGGGCATCATCGTGATCCTCTCGTCAATCCGCATCGAATGATATATATGTTGACCTCGAAAGGTCAAGGTCAAAGGTTGACCTCAGGTCACGTGACCTCGAGGTCATCATGTATATCATTCGATGCGTCTTGACGAACTGAACACAATGAGACCATCCACGCGTCTGTATCTTGTTCCTGTACGGAGTTATTGGCCAAAAACCTTTGGTGACCTTTGATGACGTCACATGACCTCACAGCTGCCCAACAGCAAAACAGACCTCAAGGTAGTGAAGGTTGATCGTATATGAAGTCATGTATGGTATATGGGGCCATTCCGACCCGTTTTAGTGGTAAAAACAGGGAGTTGATTTTTCCCCCATTGACTTATAATGGGGAGGTCGCGAAACTGACCTGACCTTAGGTCACCGATATCAAAATTCCGAGATATACAAATTGCACATACTGGTACACTAACTAAAGCCTGAAGAGAAGAAATTGATCGGTCAAAAACTCTAGCTCTGGCGTGATTGCAAACTTTTCTGAGGTAGGGTCACCAAACCGCCTCTGGTGACCTGACCTGAGGTCAGATCAACTCAAAATTTTCAGACATGTTGCGTAGAAGCCTTTTAGGAAAAGTCAGAAAATTTGAGCTTCCTAGCTCAACGCGTTTGGGAGAAATAACCAAAAAACCTCAGGGGGGGCTCCTGAGGCCCCCCCGCCAGGAATAGGGTTAACCCAGTAATCAGCCGCTGGTGCCTGCGTCATATAGCAGTTTTCCCTCCTACCGCTGCCGTAGAATCGTGTTACACCGTACTTTTTATGATACAGGCCATGACCTCACTGCTGGGGTCCTCAAACTGAATGGAATAGTTCACAGAGCCGCCACAGCCCATGGCGCGATACTTTTCAAGAGAGACTATACAATTTGCTGCCGACGCCGGTTTTGAGATGAACTCGAGGCCCACCTGACAAAACGGCACTTCCCAAACGGAACGGTGCTGCATCAATGTTTTCATACCGACCGTGTTCGGACAATTTTTAAACTCCTAAAAACGGTTGGATACGTTGTGTAGCAAATTTTTCGTAGATTCAGATGACATATCTTATTTTGTTTAACTTGGTTAATGAGCTATAGCACATTTTACCTTATTTATTGAACGACCTAGTACATTGGTTTGTTGTTATCTGAAAACAATTACGACTGACATTTTTCACTGGGGGGGGGGGTGTTTGAACACCCTACTGCGGTTTTTCGCAGATATCTCAAAAACGGCGGCGCTCCGCGCCGCCGTTTTTGGTACACCTGTTCGTGCATCTTTTCCGCACATGTGAAAATTTCAGACCCAGGTCGTCTTAGGTCAGGTCACCAGGTCACGCCAAGTGACCTCACCTAAGAAAAAATAAGAATGCTCGTCATAGCTACACCGATTGATCGATTGCCTTGAAACTTTCAGCGATTGATTAGAGCAACATCATCTATACAATGTGTATCTCGTAATTTTGATATCGGTGACCTAAGGCAAGGTCAATTTTGCGGCCTCTCCATTATAAGTCAATGGGAGAAAATCACGAACGCTATTCTAGACACTCTCAAACATCGAAATATAGGTCAGATTGACACACTGAACCCGAAAATGGCAACTGTGACCCCTCATTATGTCCCCGAGGTCATCTCAGGTCACGAACAGAATCTAACAGTTTTTCGCTAATAACTTCTGATAGAGGCGTACTAGAGCGCTGAAAACGCCTTAGATGTGTTCGGCTCGACGTTGCGGATCGACTGATATGCAGCATGACCTTTTCCGGTCAGGTCATGACTTTGACCTGAGGTCAAATTTTCAAGTTGACCTTTCAAGGTCAAATTATAGGTCATTCGACGTGTCTCGACGAGAGGAACACGATGCTGGCAAAAGTAATGTCATGGCTCTTTTTAATCAAAAGTTATTGCCAAAAAACGGTTTTTCGTAAAAACGGCTATTTTTGGAGTTTTTGCCCTCTGGAGGCTAAACCGTTGACCTGAGGTCAAATCTGAGAACATTATTCAGAAAGGTCTGTAAAAGGGCTATCGAATGCGCTTTTCCGTGGCGCTGTAGCTCTATCGCTCTATCGGTTCCCGAGATAGCCGTCGGCGGTTTCCAAAATGTTGAAATAGTCAACATTTTACCTTTGGTGACCTCTGGGCTCTGGTGACCTGACCTTTCACCTGACCCAAAAAATGACCAAGTGTTTTCGTCCTTATTTTAACCGTTCTTTCGATTGCCGCCTACCGTGTGTCGCTAGGGGAAAGTGGGGTAAGACGAGCACCTTAACTTTGGAGCCATTTTTCGGCCGGTTTTAGAAACATCATAGAAACGGGGAACTGAGTGAAAACTTTTTTTTAGACATTTTACTTCCATTTGCCAGAAGATGAGACTTAGACCTGATTCAACAAATAAACTGCAGCTATTTTTGCCAAACCTTGCAAAAACACGTCTTACCCACCCCATGGGGTAAGACGGTCACATGGGTAGGGCAAGACGGCCAGCTTTTTTCACCGACCAGCACAGCTCGCAACAAATGCTCGAGATTACCCGCATTGATACAGTCGATCGTTGGTCTCAAGTGCTTCGGAAATGGCAGTATACGATATTCGTGCAGAAGGCGTATGCTCGTATACAGGCCCTAGTTCAGAAGCCATGTAGAACCGTTTTTTACATTCATTATTCGAGAATAAACTATGCCGAAGGAATATTGCTAACATGTCTTTGAGTATCGGAATCGAACAGATTCTTATTAGAAATGCTTCTTTTTTCCTACAGCAACAAAAATATTTTCACCATTACAGACCCATTGGATCCATAGTTGCCCGTCTTACCCCAACCTCAATGTCAGAAGTTCAGCACGATTTTTCTCTGTGGACAATTTGATGCAGACAAAGCAAATCCGCGGTAAATGAACACTGGTCGGGCATATGGTG